CCCCAACCCCCCGGGTATCCAGAAACGCTAAATTTTTGTAACATCGCTGTTGAAAACCACCAAACTATAACATTTAAAAACACCAATTGTACCTCTTAAGCCTTCAATGTAAGTGTCCCAGACTTGGGGGGTCTCATCGTAATTCAGCGCGACGCATCGTTTCAGCCTTTTGAGGTCCAGGAGGAAGAGGTACTTCCGTATAAAGCGGCAGGCACTCGGGTTCCCATCAGAACAAGCCTGGCTAGCGAAAACGTTGAATTCCACGCACATCATGGCTAATTGGGAAAGGTCTCGATGGAGACGTTCCTCCATGAAACACGGGACACGCACCCTGAAGACGAATTCTTCCTCAACCCTGGAACAGACCGATGTTTTCCTCTCGGCCTCCTCCATGTCAGACGATTCCGTCAGAGCATTCTCCGATTCCCCTGAGGAGTTCAGCGATGCTTCAGAGGAGCTAGTAGGGTCTTCAGGACTGAGAGCCTTCTCCAAGTTCACCAACCAATCCTTTAAGACCTTTCCCACTTCCTCCGTGTTGAACAACACTTGAGGGTCCTGAAGTTTGTGCCTGAAAGTATTTTTTTTAAATTAAATGATATAAAATTAACAAAAACTTGTGTTTAAAAAAAGGAAGTTCAGTCATTTTTATACACCGTAGTGAAATTTGTGTACTAATAGGGGCAGGACTGATATATATTTATATTACATGATAATGGGGCAGGAAACAGGAATGTGGAGAAAGAGGGGCTCTTAATGACAAGGCCTCAGACTTAGCAAATGCTGAGTGTAGGGAACACACACCAATAGGAATAGAGCCAATTCAGTTCAAGCATCCGGTAACATCTACAAGGCAACGATGGAAAATCAATACAGCTACCGGTTCTGAATGTAACCACACATTTGATATAATAGATTCCACTCACATGGCTTCTGATGTCGCAAACTTCAGTTCTCCTAGCAGAATCTCTTCCACGGATGGTGTTGATGGTTGGGGAGGTTCTATCCTACAGAATAAATTCATAGAACATTAAAACCTTATTATTCTGCTCTGTATTACATACAGTAATACAGAGGACAGAGGACATAGGACACCCCCATTATAAGAGAATGACCAGAGAAGGACATACTGCCTGTAGTAGCTGCTCAACGGGCCAAGTGGACCATAGGGTACACAACATTGGGAGATGGTGAGCAAAAGGATGAGGCCCTTCTTATACTTCTGATCATTTGAGATCTAAATAGGGGGATGCTGATCCCATAAATTCTGCCAGCTTTTCCAGAGCTGTGACATGACACTTAGACCATTGGTGTCAGTGATGTCATACAGACTGATGGCAAGTGTGCTGCTGATACCAGTGAGGTATGCTGAAGTAAGAGGGGTAGTTAATGGTGAGATGAAGGTGAGAGATAAAATGGGCAGCTGAGCTGTGCGTACAGGTAAACACCACAGCAAGAGGTTATACAAAGATTAGCAGCAAAAATAACACATTTCAGCATATTTTAGCCTCCACATGCCCACAATATGCAAATTAATGTTCTTCAGCCATGAGTATGTTAATCTACATAGGAGCATGCAGCCACGGGCGCTCCCAGTTCTGTCACTAAGTCGTCACTGACAGCTGCACCCCTTAGACTAATAGAGAGACGATCACCATGGGTTCTGATCATGTGATGAGCACGGCAGCCAATTGTGGTGATCACACGCAGGCTGAAGTAATATATATCTTGGTCTAATTTTTCTACGTTTTCAATGTAAAATGTATTTAGGCAGACAAATGAATCCTCAAGTTATTGTTTCTGAAGAACTTGTGATACCAGCTGCATATGATTATTCTTGCCTGGCACTCCTATCTGCCACTATTGACTCACTCAGTCTTCTCCTCTTCATGTTGGGCCAAACCATCCACAGGCTCTTCAGAGGGGTGCTCTTCTTCCTTGGCTCCCTGCTTCCTCCTAATTTCAGGACTCATGTGCAGGGTTCCGATCTTCACTGTGGTTTTCCGAACAAAGCTTGAGACACTGAAACCAGAGAATAACAAATGAATGAATGAATGAACTCATGCATGGATGTTAGAGATGTGTGGACCCCACAGACTTCAGACATTAACTCCAAAAAGGGTCACGGTTTTCTAAAAACTACCCTGGGGGCTATGTCAGCAGTATAAATATTGCTTAGTGTAATTTTCCTTTGAGAGTTTTTTATGCAATGCTTTGCATCTGAGTTGGGACATTCTAGCAACCCAAAAATAAATTGTCAGTCTGCTGGGAAGCCTGGTATTACCGTTCCCATGACCTAATGAATACATTAACCTTGGAGAGTGTGGGAGAGTTTGAAATAGATGAAGAAAACAAATGTAAAGCCTTATTAATGTTTCAGTTTAAATGCGCTAAATACATTCCGGGTACAACCAAACAAAATGTGCGCAAAGTCTTACGGTTCATATCCTTCAGGAAGCAGCCACAGTGGAGAAGCCCGTTTCCTGCCAGCATGCTGCAAGGAAGGACCTCTGTGTGGAAGCAGTGGTCTCTCTACAGAGCTGAGCCAGACCTATAGCTCTGCAATTAGCAAATCTCATGCTCCCTGCTGATTGGAGAGCTCTAGCTCCGACTCCGCAGGGGGGTGGTGTTGGTCCTCTCAAGAGAGACCACTGCTTCCACAAAGAGTGCAAGGGTCCTTCTCTGCAGCATGCTGGTAGCGGGCAGGCTTTTCTACGCAGGCTGCAACTGCCTTCTAAAGAAAATTAACAGAAAGACTTTGCATAACTTTTGTTTTAATGCACCTAGAATATATAGCCGATTTAATCTAAATGTTATTGGGTTTTAATTGAAGATCTTGTTTCTCAAAAACTTAGGTCTGCATCAGGATTTGTTTTTTTAAATAAAAAACAATGCGAGTTCCACCAACCGTGCTATCTGCAGGAGTCTGCAGGTTCTCTCTATGTACACATTGGTTTCCCCTGGGTGCTCAAGTTTCCCTTCACAATGGTCATAATTGGCTTTATCCCCAAATGGTCCCAATGTGTGTGGAAGCCACATCAGATGGTAGGGCTCCTAGGCTGGAGAGTAGCTTAACAAACTCAAGGTTGCAAGCCAACATGTTTGGAGGGGCTGCCAAAAGCATCCTTCATCAGGGCTCCAATGACTGGATGCGAAAGGATGGAAGACTTTGGAGATTTATTCGATTTAGATGTAGACGTAATCCTGGTAGGCTTTAGCAGCTGGTTGGCACAAATAGGGTTGCAACCAACTAATCAATAATAAAATCGATTATGTATTATTCTCATTATTGATAAGATGGTTGGGAGAGAGAGGGAGAGAGAGAGAGGATGGGGAGAGGAGGGAGAGAGAGAGAGGATGGGGAGAGAGAGAGGATGGGGAGAGAGAGAGGATGGGGAGAGAGAGAGGATGGGGAGAGAGAGAG